AGTGTGTGGATTTAGTATGCATTAAGGGCACTGCGCTTTGGCATTTTTAAGACATGGTACAGTCTTGCTCACTTACTTCCTGTCGCATGCACGCACTCTCAAGTGGCCAAGACCGCAAGTGTGGGTATTTGGACAGGGCAATAGAAGAGGACTCAGTTCAGTATCACGCAGTATGAGAGGCGGCTTTCTGTGCGCAAGTCTTGGATGTGTGTGCAGCAGAAAAAACAGCATGCGAGTCTTCTTGACTTGAACGGTTTGAAGTCATATTAAAATGCACACAAAGGAATCAAAATTTTAATTTTATAACAAGTATCCGATTCTTAAGTATGCGATTCCAGAATTGGAAGCGATTTTTGATTCCCGAGCCTAGGTAAAGGTTAACATGTTAAATAAAAAGCGCTATTTTCTTTCTACCGAAAATGTGCCTGGAGTCCACCGTTACTATAGTAACAAAGTACACTTTTACTTGCAACTGACTGACAGATAAATCGTAGTTTATCTGTCAGTCAGACGCACATAAAAATGTATGCGCTTTTATTTCAATGTTGTTGTTAATGTTGAGGTTATTTCAGCTTCATACTTTGTACATTTAGTTTAACTGCACTGTTAAAGAGGGCAAGTTTTACCATTCAACTGAACTGAGTGCATGCACTTTAGACACTTTACCTTACCTACTGTACTTGTTCTTGCTCTGTCCATGCAATAGGGTATATGTCGAATGTCACCTGACCAAACCCGGAAAACAGGTCTCATCGCTTCTGCTTGTCAGAGAACGTGTTAACAGCCGTATTAAATAATGGCGATATCTACGGATGTTTAAGGTAATTAGTTAAACTAGCTAGCTGTTTTCATTGTTGACGTTTTATTCCATTTTATATCTAAATGTTAGTGAAAAGAATAAAAATAAATATCTTTTAGATATCAATCCACATATGTGATGGACATTGATTATGATCATCTTTGTATCACTTTTGAAGGCAAGACATTCAAGACATGATTGAAGTGACTTTAAAACTTTTGAAAGACTTCATTAAAAAATAGAAGAAAAAGCACATTACCTGTGCAGTATCCTGAACACCAGGTTTGTGGTTTCACAAGTTCATAGACATAGTATTTTCCTGGACATGCTTTCACTCTGATGGGGTTTGTCTTGTAATAACAGCAGTCATCCGAATAATAATAATTACCACAGACCTCTCTGGTCACCACTCCATCCTCTATCTGAGGGTGAGGACCATTGAGCCACAGAGTATAGTATGTGTTACAGCTGTATGTACTAACACAGGTCTCTGACATCTGGATGTTCATTCCATAGTAGAAAAGCCGGTACCAGCCATTCCAGGAGAAAGATTCATCACAAACGTAATTTCCACTTTCATTGTTGGCTCTCCAGGGACGATCCAGAGACTCATAGTTGTAGCAGGGATCACTGCTGATGCTGCTGAAAGCAACTGTCATGGAGTTTGGAAAAGTTCTGTTAAAATACTGGGACCCGCTTTATATTAATTGTCATCAACTACAGTCTTCTAAAATGTAAATTTGTAATGTGATACAATGCACTTATTGTGCAGATACATGATGCACTGCTTATGTTTAAAAACACATGCATTTATGTACAGCTGTAAATAATTTATGAGTTCTGTAAGTACACTGTTGACTCATATCTTACAGTTTAACACATCCTTAAATATAATCATACCACTAAAACTGTCCCAAACCTTAACTATATTCCTCCTAATGAGCAACAAAAGTGTTTGTAACACAACATGAACACAATGAGAACACTGTACCTTACAATTCATCTTCTCATCTAAATTGTAACACATATTAATATATAGTGTATAAATGATCAGTTACTACATAAAGTCACAGATGTGAGATGTAAAGTCGCTATAGTACATTATTTAATTTCTGATTTTTTCTTACATTAGTGTTATATTCCATCCCTACTGTGTTCTTACTATGTATGTCTGCACAATGTCTATACTTTCTTCTACACTGGAAGCTCCTGTCGTCAAGTCAAAATCCTAATAAATAATACTCTATAAATAATAAAACTCTTCTGATTCTGATGCAAAAATTAGCTTCTGAACATTTGGGTGTTATTGGGCTTTGTTTTCATAATGGCCAACTAACTGTACAGTAAATTATCCCTGTGTATTGCAGCTGGTTTTACGAGCCCCACACAGACTGAAAAACAAATGTGTGGCACATTCAATCTGAGTAGATTATATTTTAGCAATAGTGATTTTAACCTTTAATCAGTCAGTTGTGCAGCCTTAAACCCTAACTTTGAGGTGAAGATATTTTTGTCCTGTTATCTAAAAACACATTTTCTGTCAAAACAAAACATACTTTCTGAATCTGCATGCATCATGAAATGTACTGAACACAAAACTGTTTGGGATTTGTGCATTTCATAAATGTCATAAATAAACACATTATGCTTGGTTATTCTAATAACATTTTGTCTCAATACAATAAAAAAATGATGAAATTGAAAGTGGGGTCTGGTGTGAATAGTGACGTGTAGGACTGCTAAAATATGATCAAGTTTCAAGGTTTCATATCAAGAGACAGGGATCTTTCACTGAATTATTCCTATTACACTTATTTTATTCTTGCATTTTTAAAGGAAAGCAAAGGCTGGAGAAAGAAGTAAAAAATAAAGCTAAAATTTATTGTACCTAAAGTTTGTCCATTGATTATTTCACTGCTTAAGTACCTATTAACAGTTATTAAATAATATGGCCATATATTAGCACATTTGTGATTACCTGTGGCTTTGTGCCGATGGTTGAATCACTCTAATATAGCTTTATAATATCATTACCTATATAGCTTATTTTATTATTATAAATTATTTCACAAACACATGGGCCTGATTTGCTCATGCAAAACAATAATCCTCCTGATTGTAACACAGTACATTGGTCATAAAGTCCATTGTAGTTTCTGTGGTTGTGGTTTCAGTTGTGGTTGTCTCTGGCATGACAGTAGTAGTGGTAGTGCTTATATTGCTTGCATCTGAATTATAAATATTACATAATAAAGCAACACTCAACATATAAATATATTTATCTATTTAATAGGTACTAGTATCTAATGAATGTGTACTAGTATATAATAAATAAGTACTAGTATATATTTTAAAAAGTTACTAGTCACAACTGGAATAAATACAGTCAAAACGGAATAGTTGATATCTGGATGACAGATCCACATAGAAGGCAAAAAAAATTAAACGTGTTACTACTAACAACAGAATAGTTACTATAAGTTATATATTTAATAGGTACTATTATCTAATGAATAACTAGTATCTTTTTATAAATGTACTAGTACTTAAAGAATAAGCACTAGTAGCCAACAAATAAGTACTAGCACCTAGTGCAATAGATACTTGTAGCTTAAAAAAATCGAGTAGTAAGAAATATAATTTTATTTTTATTTTTTTAGATTAAATGTTAAAATGGCTCACCATACCTCTCTCTTTCCTTTTTCACCAGGCTCTGGTCACCAAAAGACCACTCAGAATGTCAAAAGTTCACTAAGAATGCTTAACTACCACATCTGTGTCTTGTTAATCAATTCCCCAATTCATTCTGTTACCAGAAAACACTCAGCACTCGGCACTCAGAACACTCACACACTGCTGTGAGTCTCTCTGCTGTCAGGTATGCATCACTCACATTTTTACCTGAAACGTTATATTTGATTTATACTATTCTTCTGAAATCATTATGACTAGTAGATTAAGTGGAGGCTGGTGATGCCGCAAATCTGTGTGCAGTTCAAAGTGAAGGCCATGAATGAATGAGGAATGTGCCACATCATCTGACAGCTTCTGATTTCTGTCTAGCACTGACTTAGCAAGTTGTATGAATGTGACTATAAAACTACACTTTTTGTTATGAGCAAGAATGTGATGGCTGACTTAAGAGTATTATTTAACTCTGCAACCTCTGACTAAAATCAGACTGGCGAGTCTGTGTCCGTGAGATTCCAACCAGCCGGCATGAGACTCTGTGCGACATTCAGATGAATGAACAAACAGATGAAGAGTAAGGGAATACTGCAATATTCAAATATCCAAATTAGAAACAGAATTAGATAGATAAATATCTCACTCTAAACATTAGAATAATTTGAAATTGGAGTCAGATTAAGCATGTAGTAGAATGATTAATTAGTTAATTTAAGTGAACTATACAGAAGTCAGGGAAAAGACCTACACACAGTGTACCTTCTGTTTCTTCATAAAGCTTAAAACGTAAATGCTTATACTAACAGAAAAAAAAAGGTACAAAAGCGGTCGCTACAGCAGAACCTTTTCAAAAGGTACAAATGTATACCATTTAGGTACTGAAATGTACATTTTAGGTATTAATATGCAGCTTTGAGGTACTTATATTTATTTTAAGGGGTAAATGCAAAAATACAAAGGTGTATTTTTTGAAAAGGTACCGGCCGCCCAGTGACAGCTTTTGTACCACTGCACTGATACCATAAAGTGAAAATAAGGAATCCTTAAAATTAGGAACACTTGCTGTATGCTAAAAAATAATAATAATAATAATAATAATGTAATTCCCTTAAAAATGTAATTATAGCTGTCATGTCTACTATCAACTCTCTCTGGTTGGGCTTGCTGTTCCTGCTTTGAAAACCAGGTTGTAGCAGAGAGCAGTCAAACAGGGTGTCAAAGTTTAAAGATCATTTCCACACCGTATGTATCAAGTTTCTATGGACAACAAAAACAGATGCCTTTTGCTTGTAGATAAAACAACTCTTCTTGTGCAGAACAGGAGGGTTAACATGAACATACAGTACACAGGAACTGCTTTTTCTTATCAATGTGTGAATGACAGTAAATTCCTTTAGACTCACAGGAAAAACAAGTTTTGTCATGTAGTTGAACCTTCTCATTAATAATAATGTAATTCCCTTAAAAATGTAATTATAGCTGTCATGTCTACTATCAACTCTCTCTGTGGGCTTGCTGTTCCTGCTTTGAAAACCAGGTTGTAGCAGAGAGCAGTCAAACAGGGTGGCAAAATTTGAAAGATCATTTCCACACCGTATGTATCAAGTTTCTATGGACAACAAAAACAGATGCCTTTTGCTTGTAGATAAAACAACTCTTCTTGTGCAGAACAGGAGGGTTAACATTAACATACAGTACACAGGAACTGCTTTTTCTTATCAATGTGTGAATGACAGTAAATT